CTGATTCATTCGTTCTACCTGTCCTGAACTTTGTGGCCTATAAATATAATGTAAATTCCAATTTATTTTTAATGTTTTAGCTAATAATTGGGAAATTTTGGCTGTGAAAGCCAGGCCATTGTCAGACCTCAAGGTTACAGGTAGGCCGAATCTGGGGACAATTTCTTGTAACAATTTTTTAGGGTTATCTGAGCGGTTTCAGTTTTGGTAGGAAAGGCTTCTACCCATCCAGAAAAAGTGTCTGTGAACACCAAAAGGTAGCGATACCCATACTGTCCAGGTGTTACCTCGGTGAAGTCAATTTCCCAGTGTTCGCCAGGGTTGGTTCCTTGTGTTCTGGTTCCAATGGGTGGCCTTGATTTGGGCCCTGGATTTACTTGTGAACAAATTTCATATCTGGTAACAATGTCTTTTGTTATTTTGTCAAGATCTTGAATGTAATAATATTTTTTTAAAGTTCAGTTAATTTTGTGGATCCATGATCTGTTCCTTGATGTATCTGTTTAATCAGCAATCTGCCTAGATCCTATGGCAAATAAATCCTGTGGTCTGGAAGAATTTTCTAATTCATGGATTGAGGTGCTGGAGCGACTATTAAAGAGTCAAATGGCCCCACTGGTTTTAATGTGTTCTCTTTGGCAGTCAAATTAGTAGCAGCATTGCCTTGGGTCTCAAACGAGTTATCTTTCTGGTGCCCTGGACAATGTATGATGGCCACTTTTTTTGGATACCATATGGCCTCAAGGAGGGCTAGTGTTTTTGTTTTATTATTTATTTATTTACTTTCTGATGTTAATAGTCCTTTTTGTTTGTATAAGGCCCCATGAACATGGGCAGTGGCAAAAGCATATCCGTTGTCAGTATATATGTTAACAGTTTTATCTTTTCCATGTTTTAAAGCCTGTGTTAGGGCTATGAGTTCAGCCTTTTGAGTTTGGCTTAAGGCTTGAGCCCAAATCACCTGATCTAAAGTTACCATGGCTGTCCCAGCGTACCTGATTCCATTGGAGATGAAACTGCTTCCATCAGAGAACAGCATTTCATTACACTCTGTTTAGGGCGCATCAGTCAGGTCCAGCCAGAGGCCTTGGAGAGTCTTGATTGTTTCGAGGTAGTCATGGACAGGCTCGGTTGGGTTGTCATCCGGTAGGAGGGTAGCCAGATTTAGAGCCGCAGTTTTTACGAACTTTATTTGGGGCTGATCTAGAAGTAAAGCCTGATACTGGGTGAAGTGGGAGTTGGCGAGCCAACATTCAGGTGCACTTTGTAAGAGAGTCTGTCAGAGTGGGGGGCCACTAAGCATATGTCTTGTTAGCCTCTTTTACTACTAAAGCAGTTGCCGTTATGGCTCAGAGACAGATTGGTCATCCTGCGGCTACACTGTTCAACCTCTTGGAGAGGTAGGTGGTAGGCCTCTTCCATGATCCCAGGGCTTGGGTGAGCACCCCCCAGGCAACACCTTGCATCTCAGCAACAAACAGGGTGAAGGGCTTCATCAAATAAGGTTGGGGGATTTTAAAATCCTTGGGGGATGTGAGTTCAAGTTAATTGTCCAGAGTACCTCCCCCGGGGTCAGTCCATTCCAAGACAAAGAGAGGTTGGCTTACTTCGGCCATCGGGATGCTGAAGAAGCCATCTTTAAGATCTAGCTTTTTGATTTGTTTCTCTTCTGGACTATCTCTGTTGTTAAAGACCCTCTGGGCAATTTCAACCAGCTCAGATAACAACCTTCCTGTCTTTGAAGCTTTCTCCTAATGTCTGGGGCTGACTGGGTAACAAAGGCAATATTTATCACCCGCCTGGTTTTCTAGGGTCTCAGGCCCACAGGAGTGTAGATCCTGTAAGCCTCCATAAGGCATTCCAGGAAAGCGGTGGAGGTTTCGTTTGGTCACTGAATAGTTTCGCTTAGTTTTAATAGGTTAGTGGGCTTCTGGGCTGCTGTGTGGAGTCCCCTAAGGTGAGTCTGGTGGTACAAGTCAAGAGCCCCCTTACCTTGGTCCGTGTTTGGGTCCCACCCAGGTTTGTTAGAAGGGAACATGCGTTCGAGGCAAATGGGGTCATCAGAGGGTCAGCCATCATGACCGGCAACAGTTTTCAGGGCCTCCCACCAGATCTGCTTGCGTTCTTCTGACGTGAAGAGAGTCTGCAGGAGCTGCTGACAATCATCCCATGTAGACTGGTGGGTAAAGAAAACAGTCTCCAAGAGGGAGATGAGGCCCTGAGGTTTTTCTGAGAAAGAAGGAATGCCAGGATCAGGTGGGGGAGCGAGAAGGGGGTTTGGAGGAATGTCAGGGAGAGGCGGTGCCACTCCGAGTATGGGAAACAGGCAAAGAAAGTCCAGAAACGCACTCGTAGTTCTGGTCAATTGGTTTTTAACAAGGTTGCCAGAGCAATTCTTTAGGAAAAAGCTATGTGTATGCCCCCAAAACTATTTACACTACCATTTAAATATTTTATTTATATCTACCTAAATGTTGACTCTGACAACTGTTACACTATGGAGTTAATAAGGCTGTATATTTTTTAAAGTAATGAACAGAGTATGCTTTCTTAACTGCCTAATTCACATTTTTCTGAAGTGTTTTGTCAGTTAATGTTTTCAACCAACTTAAAAGTAATGTTTTCCCCATTTTTCCCATGAGTGGAAAGAATGTAAACAAACCTGTGTTTAACAGTAAGGTCAGCATGACATAAAGTAGCAAAAGCCAATAAATCAAAAATGAGGTTGACATTCTGGGACTAACCTAGCAGTCCTGCAACAGTCTTTCAAATTCTTTTTCATATCCTTATGTAGTTGTGGATAAGCCTTGGTGCAGCCTCCATGCAAATACTGAGAGCTCTGCCTTGGAATGTGGTCAACTCCAAGGAGGGGAACAGATCCCTTCATATGATTTTTTCTTTTCTTTGGTTACAGTATATTCAGAGATTAAATCATTGCTGTTATGAACTACTGCTGNCGGTGCCGCTCCGAGTATGGGAAACAGGCAAAGAAAGTCCAGAAACGCACCCGTAGTTCTGGTCAATTGGTTTTTAACAAGGTTGCCAGAGCAATTCTTTAGGAAAAAGCTATGTGTATGCCCCCAAAACTATTTACACTACCATTTAAATATTTTATTTATATCTACCTAAATGTTGACTCTGACAACTGTTACACTATGGAGTTAATAAGGCTGTATATTTTTTAAAGTAATGAACAGAGTATGCTTTCTTAACTGCCTAATTCACATTTTTCTGAAGTGTTTTGTCAGTTAATGTTTTCAACCAACTTAAAAGTAATGTTTTCCCCATTTTTCCCATGAGTGGAAAGAATGTAAACAAACCTGTGTTTAACAGTAAGGTCAGCATGACATAAAGTAGCAAAAGCCAATAAATCAAAAATGAGGTTGACATTCTGGGACTAACCTAGCAGTCCTGCAACAGTCTTTCAAATTCTTTTTCATATCCTTATGTAGTTGTGGATAAGCCTTGGTGCAGCCTCCATGCAAATACTGAGAGCTCTGCCTTGGAATGTGGTCAACTCCAAGGAGGGGAACAGATCCCTTCATATGATTTTTTCTTTTCTTTGGTTACAGTATATTCAGAGATTAAATCATTGCTGTTATGAACTACTGCTGTTTAACTTATCATCAACCTCCCCCAAATTTTTAAATCTCCAGTGAAGGGAGAAGAAATTATTAAAGGAAATACTCTTAGCTTATTTTCAATTTTTAAAGCCACCTTGGGTCTTCAGAGGCATCACAGAGTATGGGAGGCACTGTGGGGGTTGAAGCCTTCTTCAGAGAAGCTGGAAGAGAAGGCTTAGTTAAAAGCACAGATTGTGGGCCGAGCCCATGGCGCACTCGGGAGACTGCGGTGCTGGGAGCGCAGCGATGCTCCCGCCGTGGGTTCGGATCCTATATAGGAATGGCCGGTGCGCTCACTGGCTGAGCATGGTGTGGGCGACACCACACCAAGGGTTGCGATCCCCTTACCAGTCATGAAAAAGACAAAAAAAAAAAGAACAGATTGTGTTCTATTTCCATTCACCTGGGGCCTTTTTTTAAGGCACCTTTTTAGTAATGACAGCTTGTCAGAGATTATATCAGTCCAAACCTGTATGTAAGGGGGTTGTCCCACAGACCTGTTTGGAGGAATTTTGTCCCATTTGTTATATAAGACCACAGTTAATGACACACAAAAACACACAACTGGCAACACACAAAAGACAGACAAGTGGCCACATCCAAAATTACTCTAAGCTATCCACAGACACAATAATCACAATGACAAAGACAAACAAGAAACACGGAAACACAATTCCTATTGACTTGCAAGTCCCAAATCCAAACCCAAATTACCAATGGGCCCAGTGACATCTCGGGAGCCCAAGGACTAGGGGAGTTAGTGCTGCATCCAGCCTCCCACTAAGTCCAACAATTGGTGCACTATCCCTTACTGAGATCTCACCTACCTGGGGAGAGAGTAAAGTGCCCCGTCTGCCTCCAGGGAGAAGAAGAGGAACAGCTTCTCTATCTTCTCCTAGGAGATGTGTGGGGAGGGATATGCTCACGAGAGAAAGAATCTCGCTGGGGCCTCCAAAATGTTGCGAGGCCCCCTCCCACAGGAAATGCACTTACACGCAACTTGTGCAGAAAAGGGCAGTTTATTCACTCTGACTGGCCAGCGACCGTCTCCCAAGGAGAAACCAAGGAAGATCAGCCTTGGGCCTTGGTCTTATGGGGTTTTTAAAGGCAAAAACTACATCTTGTTGGCACACGGGTTTGTCCAGGTGCACAAAGCAAGCTAGGAAGCTAGGTCACAGAAGCTGAGAATGAGCCGTTGGGGCAACCAAGCATACAACTTTTCATTGTATATGTTCCCATGTAATAGTTTACTGTGTATGGCTCCTGTTTCTATGCAACAGCTTTTGTTTCTATGAGAAGGTCAACGGTTTCTCATGCAGCAGGGGGGGGGTAGTCTGCAGGTCAGACAGGGGGTAAAATGGAGTTACTTAGGTTAAGCAAGCAATTTTACAGAAGCAGATAGCATACATTATGAGGGTGTAGGGAGCTCTATTTCAGTATTTGTCACCAAGATACACTGGGGCCATAGAGCCAGCGGGTGTAGGTGGAAACATTCCTGCTCTTCCCTGCTGGCCTCCTGCTGCATCTGAGCCATCAGTGGGACTGGAGCAGCTGGAGGGGCAGCTGGTCTTCCTCTGAGGTTCTGTCCTCCCCCGGTTGGGAGGCTAGGGTGGGGTTCTTCCTCGTGCCTGTAAACAGGATGGGGAGCACTATAGCTTGGCCCTTGGGTGTGTCCCCAGGAGGCAGGAACGTGGGAGACAGTAGAGGGCCACAGCCATGAAAGCACATCATGCCCTGGGGACAGCAGGTGATCCTGGAGCCCTGAAATCCCTCCCCCTGCCTCCCTCCTTCCACAAGCATTTCTTGAGTCCCTGCCATGTGCCAGTCAGGGGCCTCCCCAAGGAGCTTAAAGTCCTAGAGCTTGTGTGTCAGAGAAGAGAACACCTGAGACATGCTGAAGAGATGGAAGGAAGTCCACTCTCAGGGAGCTCAGAGGAGAGAGGGACCCATCCCATAGGGGAGGTGGCATGTTTGGACATCCAGCGGGGAGAAAGGGCACTTCCGACAGAGACAAGAGCCAAGGAAAGCAAAGAACAAGGAGCACAGCAGACCGACCGGCTGTCCAGCAGACAGGGAAGTGGGATGGACAATGGCTTTGGCCTTGACCTCCAAGCTGAGGTGTGGAGTATACTATAAAGCAAATATATTTCACAGGGCCTAGTTTCTTGTACTTTCAGATTTAGTCTAACTTCTTAAAAGCACATATAAAATGTTGACCTTGCAAAAAACAGGCAATTTTGCCCAGGCTGCAGTCTCTGCTGTAAGATAAAGAATTGTAACACAGCAAGGTTGCTGGTTCACAGACAGACAAGTTACTGATTGACATGCAAAGACACTGGGAAGCTGTGTAGGGAGAAGGAATGTTTGCTAAGACCAAGCTTTTGTTGGTGGATCACTTAAACTGCCTTATGGAATGTCACTTTGCTTGTTTTACTGAATGTTACCAGCCTATATTCTTAAATTATAACCCCACCTATGTTCTCTTCCTGTAACTTCCTGGTCTGGAGAATAAATGTGAGAAAAGAACCCCAATTCGGGGTTAATTTCCCAAATGGAAGGGATGCCTCACTCTTTAGGGTTCTGGGAGTTTAAGCACTTTGGGGCTTCTCACTGCTAAGAAGAGATGGGCTTTGAGTCATCTTTTGTGGCTCCATCACCCAGGGGAAGAGGGGTGACAAATCCATGGGAAGCAAAGCAGCACTGTAGAGCCTGGCCTTCCAGGCAGTGGGAGGCACGGTGTAGTGTGGGCTGGGTGTAGTTTTTGTCTGCATCAGTGGGACTGGAGTGGGGCAGTCCCCCTTGCCTGGAGTGGCAAGGCTTGTCTGAGATCTGCGTGCAGACACAGGAGAACTGAGAGCAGGGGCAGAGGGTGGGTGCCTGCCTGAGCACCAGGTGGGAGAGCTGGTGGCAGAGATGGGGAGAGGCCCTCCAGGACTCCCACCTGGGGGAGGTGGGGGTCAGGTGATGCACCTGCTGTTCCCCTTGGAGGCCCCAGCAGGTGGCGGGTGTGGGATTGGGGTGGGGAATGCTTGGGGCAAGGCGGCTTTCAGAGTCTTGGGGCTGAAGTGAAGGGAGGGTAGAAAGGAAAACTACCAGACTCTGAGGCCCATCATCAGGACTTTGGAGCAGAAGGAGGCCTGAGGAGCCTGCAACAGGGATCATGCATGACTCAGGAGGCTCTTTGGGGGTTGGGGGAGGTTGGCCCCACAGGCACAAGCACATGCAATTTGTCAGGAAAGAGAAGGAGAAAAGAGAGAGAAGCCAGTGCAAGTCGAGGTGGGAGCTACTGAGGTTGCAGTAAGAAAGGGAACGCTGTGGACAGAGCTGACCCCCAGCACAGGCCTCTATAGTGGGAGGAAGGAGTCAGAGTCGGTCTAGGCAGGGGCGCTGAGTGGGGACTGGCAGGGCTATTGTCACTACACTAGAATGGAGAGGACGAGGCCATGAGAGGTGGGGAGAGGCGTAGGAAGTGACTCCTCCTCATGGGTGTGATGGGGCTGGGGCTTGTGCAGCAGGGAAAGCTCAGGGTCAGCAAGGCTTGCCCGACAGGCAGGGCAGAGCCACTGAGGATCACCTGTGGAGATGCCACTTGTGCTGAGGCTAGGCAGGGGAACAGGCCAGGCTGGGGACCAGCTCTCCATACACAACTGAATGGGCAAAGGGTGCACCTGGCTGGAACCCAGACGGGAGAAGTGGGGCGGGGAAGGCTGCAATCAGGGCGGGGCTGGAGGAAGCGGGAACAGCCTGGGAGGCCAGCAGGGGCGGGCGAAGGGAAGGAGGGGAACACCACCTTGAGGGCAGTCCCTGTGAGAGGAAATGGCAGAGTGGAGCTGCAGAGTGCCGTGGGGAGGTCTCCGGGTCCTCCCTCCGCCAGACTCTCCACGGCTGTGCGGCCAACCAGAGACATGCACACCCCGGGGCCGGGGCTCCAGCCAGCACAGCTACTCACCAGGGACGCCTGCCCCTGACGGCTCCTCGCACAGCGTGGGCAGCGTCTGCTCCCACGCGGCCCAGTTCACCTCCTCCACCCTGCGGGCAACAGAGCAGCTCTGAGACTCTGGGAAGTCAGCAGTCTAGCCTGCTTGCCCCGGAACAGGGGCCGGCCACCAAGCGGGTGGCACAGTGACAGCAAAGAGGATGGGGTTCTCTGCCCTCTGCAGGACACTGGGCCATCCACCATCCCACCTGGAGCCCCATCTTCCAGGCTATCAGACTGTAGCCCCCAGGCCAGGTGCCTGCAGAGAGGAACAGGCATCCATCCCTTCAGACTGTTCACAGCAGCCTGGGTTGCCCAGAGTAACCAGAGATGAGGAATTCAGTATTGTGTTTTTTAAAAAAATTTTTTTTGCAGTTGGTTAGTATAGGGACCTGAACCCTCAACTTTGTTGTTGTCAGCACCATGACTTACCAAGAGAAAGAAGAAGAATTTAGATCAGGTGTATCTTTGTGCTCCAGGTTCTGGGGTCCTTTCGTGTCTGCTCCACATGCCTAAGACCCTTGCCCTCCCCCTGCCCAGCTGCTGCCCCACAAAAGTGTCTGTCTCTGGCTCAGCGTTATCACTGGTTTCCCTCTCCAGCACCCCAGCATTCCCTGGGCATGGAAGGGCTTGTTTTCCATGGAAGAGGTTATAGCTCTGAGATCAGGCTGGGGGATTAGGGGTGGTCACTTAGAGCAGCCAGGGCAAGGCGAGTGTGCTGGGAGCCCCATGGCCTCTCGGGCTTCTTGGCCTCCTTGCTGCACCACGTGCTAGGGTGGTACAGTGGAAGGAGGGGTCAGGGATCAGGGGGGGGGGGGGCTTTCAGTTTAAGCCACTGGGACAGGAGACAGCCAGACGGGCAGAGCTACAGGCAGTGACAGCCAGGGGCCTGTGAGATCAAGCATCCCTGACCTCACCTGCCCAGGGTGGAGTCCCCTGACACTCCTCGGCCCTGCCTTGTCCCCCGACCTGGCTCCTGCAGCTGTTCCCGGCATTCAAGAGAGTAAGGCTGGCCTCCACTGCCCCCAACCCCTCTCCCCTGCCCATCTCACTCACCTGAAGCACCAGCGCTCATCGGGGCTACCATCCGGCCTGGTGCCCACTGTCAACATCACCCCCATGCGCTGCTTCTTCCTCCTGCACCACCAGTAGCCATTCTCCATCTCCAGGACAGAGATGGCTTTCTAGGGACAAAGGATGCATCAGACAGAGTAGCCTGGGACCCTGCCTGGAGGAAGAGGTGTGCAGGGCAAGGGGAGCAGGAAGACATACCACCACACTTAACAGTGTAACCCAAAGTCCATTAAGCATGTGGATCTGAATCCAGCTCCAACGTGTGGTGGTAACTCTCTGACTCTCAGTTTCCCCATTTGTAGACTGAGGATAATGCACTTCAGATGGTTGTTGAGGAGTCAGCAGGTAGAGTGCTGGACAATTACTTGCTGTTACTTCGTTAACAGACTCCAGAATGCCACACCGTTTGGAACAGAACTTAATTTGCCTACAGATGCACGTGCCCACTGGCATGCAAGCCAGTCAGGCATGAGCCTCAGAGGAGATGAGGGGCTTGCCCCAGGCCAACAGTGAATGGGCAGCACAGTCTAGCCTCCCTGGAAAGGCTCTCCCTGCACCAGCAGCCCAAGACCCACACCTGACTTTCTGTGGTCAAGAAGCAGCTATTGCTTGCACCGTAGGTGGGTGTCATACCAGCCCGCAGCTATGGGGATTCTGCTGGGCCGGCCCTAGAACTTCACATCCTGACCAGCTCCCCCACCATACTGACCCCATTTTATGTACAATGGACACAGAATGAGAGCTCCATGAGGGGACTGTCTTGTTCTCTGCTGTGTATGTAGCACCTGGAACTGTGCCCAGCCCCACCAGTAGGCACTCAAGAAACTCGTAATGATGATAATGACCATGACAATAGTGACTGACATACTGAGCACCCACTCAGCAGCACGTCAGGGGCTCCTGCGGCACCTGCAGCTTCCAGATGCTCCAGCTGTCAGTGGCCACGCTGTTGACGGTCTCGCTCATGAGGGCGATGAGCATGTTGAGCAGCAGGATGTAGGTGAGCAGCACGTAGGCCAGCAGCAGCAGCAGCACCACCCCGCGGAAGCGGAGCCGCTCCTGGAAGGCCAGCTCGCCCATGCCGATGGTGAACTTGAACAGCTCCAAGGAGGCGTCCAGGATGCCCCCGTATGGGGCCACATCGCCTGCCTGGTCCTGTCCCACTTCGGGCTGTGCTGCCTCTGTGCTGTTGGGGCCTGCGGGGGTCCCAGGGCCCCAGGCCTCCCGGCTCAGGCTCACCAGGGCTGTGGAATGGAGGGGGAGGGGTCCTCAGCCTGGGGAGACAAGCGGGCAGCCTTGAGGGTGTGCAGGGTGGGCAAGGGATGGGCGGGAGCCAGAGGGGGACTTTACCTACAGCGAAGCCAAAGAGGAAGACCAGGTAGACCAGGAGGAAGCGGAGCAGGTCCCGCAGGATGACCTGGAACAAACATCCAGAAGCAAGATGGGTGGCTGGGCCACCAGGCATGATCCCAGACCCCCGCCTCTGCCCTGAACACAGTTCCCATGTAAACCCCACACCCACCCCCATGCACACACACACACATGTGCATACACAGGCCCCGTGGAGCCATGCTGAGCAAAGGGGCCTTTTAAAAATCTATCTCAGATCTCATCGTTTTCCTGCTTAAGACCCTCCAGGTGGGGGGCTGGCAGCTCAGTTGGTTAGAGCGCAGCCTTAAAAAATGAGGTTATTCGTTATTAATAAAATCATCTTGATTCTTTAAACTCCTCCCTGATTACTTCAGGTAGGAGGTGATATCTATGTGTAATAGAAAAGTGAAAAATAAAAATAGAGCTTCCTATATTAAAAAAAATGTGTTAGGTTTTTCAAGCTATGTCTTCTGTTTTTTTTGAGCAAGAGACACGTCTACTTTTATTCTTACTAGCCCATTTGTTCAAAATAGAAGGTCCTAACAACAACTAAAAAAAAAAAAAAATCTTCCAGGGTCGAAAAATTAAGCATAGAATTGCCACGTAACCCAGCAATTCCAGTGTATATATACCAAAAAGAATCAAAAGCATCGGATATTTGCACACCCATGTTCATAGCATTATTCACAGTAGCTAAAAGGTAGAAGCAACCATGTGTCTATTGATGGATGAATGAATCAACTAAATGTGGTGTATACAATGTAATATTATTTAGCCTTAAAAAGGAAGGAAAGGGCTGGCCCGTGGCTCACTCGGGAGAGTGCAGTGCTGACAACACCGTGCCAAGGGTTAAGATCCCCTTACCAGTCATCTTTAAAAAAAAAAAAGGAAGGCAATTTTGATACAAGCGACAATGTGAATGAACCTGAAGACATTATGTTTAGTGAAATGAGCCAGTCACAAAGGGATAAACACTGTCTGATTCCACCTGTGTGAGGTTCCCAGCATCCTCAAACAGAGACAGAAAGCAGAATGGTGGCTGCCGGGGCCTAGGCGAGGGGTGGGAGTCAGGGTTTAATGGACGTTGGGTTTCAGCTGGGAAGATGAACAAGTTCTGGAGAGGGGTGGTGATGAGTGTGCTTAATGCCACTAAACTGTACACTTAAAAATGGTTGAAATTGAAAATTTTAGGTATATTTTAACCACAATTTTTTGAAAATCTCCAGGGGCCTCCAAACCCTCCCTGAAAGCCTCTGGCCCCAGACTTCCCCCGGCTTCCCCAGTCCCTGCTCCCTCGCCCCCCAGCCACCCCCACCTCTCCACCCCACCCAAGCACTCCAAGCTTGTTCTGGCTCATGGCCTTGGCTTTTGCTGTTCCCTCAGCCAAGAAGGCTTCCTCCTCAGCCTTCTGCTGGCTGAATCATTCTTTCAGGTCTCAACTTAAATGTCACCTCTTCAGAGAGGCCTTCCCAGACCATCCCACCTAAAATGCCCTCGGCCCATGTCACTCTCCATCACGTGTCTGCAGTGTTCTCAGTTGTTTTCTTAGTGTTTTGGTGCTTTTCTTAGCGTCCCTATGAGAACACCAGCTTCAGGAGAATGAATCTGTTTTGTTCACTGCTGTATTCCCAACACTTAGAATAGGGTCTGGCCTGTCGTAGGTACTCCCTTAACTTTTGTTGAATAAAATAAATGAATGCAGACACATGCACATGGCCACATGTCCCAGCACCCAGACCACAGATGCGCTTATGTACATATTCTCTGCTCCTTTGGTGTAGAAGGATGCACATGCTCCCGTCTGGACACCTGTACACACAGGTATGTGCATGTGCCTGCACGTGCGTGCACACCCCTGGGAGCAGAGGCATGCATGCCCATGCTCGAGCTTACATGCAGCGAGTGTCCAGGGGGATGGCACACAGGTAGACTCTCTGCCCAGGTTGGTTCCCACCAGCTGGGCCACCCCTGTCTCTCACCTTCTGGATCATGACGCTGTAGATGCCTGTATGCTGCAAGCCTCGCGTGTAGTACAGCAGGTTCAGCCAGCCCAGCACCAGTGAGAACACAAGCAGGGGCAGGTACCACTCGACGGCCAGGAAATACAGAACCTGGGACAGCACTGTGAGCAGGGCCTGGACGAGGCTGTATGGGACCAGGGGCCGGGTCAGCTTCCAGGCCCCTTGGCTATGTCCCCCAACATCCACCGGCTAGCGCTGGCCTCCACTGCCTCTCCTGCCACAGTCTGACGGCTTGAGATGTCCCTCATGTGTCTGAGACTGGACCCAATCAGGGCCTGACCTCCATCCTGGGCATGTGATTTAACCTCCATGGGCCTCAGTTCCCTCCCCTGTAAAATGGTAATAATAATGAGACCTGACTTGTAGAGTGTTCTCATGGTTGAGACACTACAGGAAAAGAGTTCAGGCTCCACGGGGTGTAGTGAGGGTTCAGTCAGGGTTACTACAAGGATGGAGCACAAACAGCCCCAGGCTGGATGGCAGCTCAGACTCCCGACTCCGACTCCGGGAAGCTCTGGGGGGGGCCCATTTCCTCACCTCTCAAGCCAGCCCCGGAGCCCGCTGCCACACTGCCTCTCCCCAGCCTCAGAGATGGGGATCGGGGAGGAGGAGTGAGCGCTCACGTACAAGAGGATTTCAAAGTAGCTGTCCACGAACGAGATCCAGATGAACAGGCGGCGCCGCCAGAAGTACCACAGCTGCGGAGGACGGAGTGGTGTGACACTTGCTCTCTGGGCACAAGGGCAGCCCAGCTGTCCCTCAGGGCCTGGGCCTGGCTGAGTAGGAGCCTGGCCAGGACTATCTCAGGGACTAAGGCAGCAGCTTTCACTTTAGGAGTCTCAAGAATCCTTCTGATGCTGAGAAAGCTTTGGATCCTCTTTCCAAAAACAGCAGCCACCCACAGACACCCAGACAATGCCAGGGGCCTCCTGGTCCCCTGTGGATCCAGATGAAGAGCCCACATCCTGAATATGGGGAGGAGAGCTCCTCTGTCCCCCACTCCTTGGCCTCAACAGGAGCACCCTGTAGGATGCCAGCCTGGGTTTGGTGCCCCGGTTCTGCCCACTCTGAGAAGATCCCAGTGTCTTGGTGTCCAGGCTGTCTCCTGCAAGCTTGCAGCTCTTCCATCTGAAAAGGCCCTGCTGCGGGAGTTGGGCTGAGCCCTGCCTGCCCCAGCCTTCTGTGCTCCCCAAGTGAGGAATGCCCAGTTGAAGGTCCCGGGGCAGGGGCTTCAGCTCGATTCCTGGGGGAGCAGAGCCC